AGAAACGTATGAACCTAGGGCCCGAGGCACTCCACAGCTCGTCTACTGACAATCAATCACTGTCCGTCGAACGAACAGTTTTCCCAAATGTATAGCGAAAGCCGTGGGTTGAGTGTTTGCTACGAAGATCAGCGTACTACAGGGATAATGAAGTGGCCACATGAGTGGCTTTCCACCCGCAACAAGGCGCATGCAACGGCGTTGGAACGCTTAGGTGCATATAGCAGCGAGTGAAGCTGCAGCCGAACTGGTGTACAGCGAACTGGCCGAACAAGGTCATCATCCGTGCCGATGCGGGCAGGGCGTACTTCCCGTTTGGGTACATTTTGGGAATAGCCTAAACAGCGGCGGGTGTAAATAACTGCTGAATATCCACATTGTCGGGCCGCACCTTGATTGCAGTTGGACAGGAGAGAAAATATTTGTCAAGAAGGACCGCAAAGTGGTCAAGTGAAGCGAACCGATCTCCAGGACGTGAAGGTTGAGTTGACGTACTGGGCACGTGCCACACGTGTTGCGGATGCGGCAAGAACGGCGCATCGGGTTCTGGGAAGCAGCCCCAACCTAGTGTTTCACGAAATCATGGCGATCTGCGAGTTCTGGTGTTCGCCCGGAGAAAAGCTCCTGGGTCAGTCGGCCCTAATCCAGTCACTATCGCGTCGCTTTTGAGACACGCGTGTGCATTGCCGATGCCCACTTGCCTCTCTCCTGATCGACTTCCCCTCTTTCAGTCGGGGTGTAGGCCCTGAAACGGCCGTGCAGGGATAGCGCCATCTCTGTGATAATGTACATCCAATGGCGACGCCCGGGCAAGGCTCGCGAGTCGAAACACCACGCGCTTGTGGCTCCAAGCGGATGATCACTGCGATTGCATCGCCGCTGGTCGCCGAGGGATGTGAATGCACCGCCAGCAGCAGTCGCCATGCAACGTGAGCTGGCAATCTGGATCAAAGGTGTTCGTGCGGGGTGCGACAGCACGTCAAGACGTGCATGAGGGTTGTATTTTGCCGCCATGCTGCAGCGAACGGGTAGTGTTGTGAGCAGAAGACGAGGCTGAGTGGTGAGCAGAAGACGAGGCTGAGTGGTGATGCGAGTAGAGATGAATTATGTTCATAGAAGGTAGGTAAAGTTAAACGACCCTAAAAGCTGTCAAAAAAATAATGAAATCTTTTGACTCCCCGAAGCGTGCTGCATGGTGCCTCGCATGGCATGCCGACAGGAGGGAATACAGTGTACCGATCAAAATGCCATAAAGAAATCGGTCTAGATAGATGAACGCGAACACGAAGAGCGCCACCAGATAAGAAAGACGGAGTCGATACCAGTAGTAGAAGTAGGGTGTTCGGAGGCGCATCCAGCAGACGTGAATCCGTTAGCCCGTAATGCGAACCCTAAGTGACAGTATCGAAAAGAAGAGGTGTTTGAACGACAGGCCTTCGTAGGCGAAGGTGAGCTGACAGTACGTAACAGTAGCATCGCGTGTTTTCTTCTGCTGGCCCAAGCAGCACCGCCAATGGCCAGGGCGGTCGACCGAACCCAGCGGTGTAGGTATCTCTCCACAACAAGAATCATGGCTTCCATCTCCTTACATGACTGTGCATCCACAGCAGCCCTTCTTCTCGGCCTGGTCATCGGTGTCAAATGTCTGCTTTGTGGGGCCATTTCCGTTTGAGCCAGGGGCACCTGTGTAGGAGGACATTTCCTTGTTGTATCTGCGGATCTCGCGTACGATGTCGTAGAAGGCGTTGTCAACGTTGATGCGGGACTTGGCCGATGTCTCGATGAATTTGCAGCCAAAGTTGCGCGCCAGAGTCTGGCCCTCTGTGCAAGGGTCAGCACGTGCGGGTGGTCAGGGATGGGATGCAAACGTACCTTGTGTCGAGACCTGCCTCTCGCCGTCGAGATCGCACTTGTTGCCAACAACGATCATAGGGAAGTAGTCCTTGTCCTTTACTCTCAGGATCTGTTGCTGGAATGTCATAATCTCCTCGAAGCTCTGCCTGTCGGTTATCGAGTAGACGAGCAGGAAGCCCTCTCCTGTGCGCATGTACTGCTCGCGCATGGCCGAGTACTCCTCCTGACCGGCTGTGTCGAGCACATCGAGCAGCGCAACCTCGTCGTCGATGACGCACTGCTTGCGGTACGAGTCTGGCGCTGTTAGCTTGCTTTTGCGCATGACGCGGCGGATCGTAATAGCTCACCCTCGATGGTCGGGTCGTACTCGTCTACGAAGTGGCTCTGGATCAGCTGGATAGTCAAACACGACTTTCCGACTCCACCGCCGCCGACGACTACCAGCTTGTACTCTCGGAGAAACTGGCGCGGGTTAGCAGGGGCGCGTGCGGCGCGGGCGGTGCTGGGCGCCTACCTTTGATGCCATTGTGAATGTGAGGGAGGTGCCGGACGGTTAGAGGTCGCGGGCGATGAATTAGGGTATAGGGTATAGGTCTAGTAGAGTAGAGCAGAGCAGAAGAGAAGAGGGAGGCTGTAGGGGCGGCGATCACGAGCGGCGGGAGTGGTGGCGATGCGACAGGCGTATCGGGGCTGTGACGGACGGTGGTGTTGAGGTCGTGGCCGGATTATCAGCAGCGAGGGAGATGGCCAGGAGAGTCGTCGCGGTAGAGGAAGACGGGAGAGACGAGCAGGATGATCTCGGTAGCAAAAACGACCCTCTAGCTCCGTCTGGGGCTTTGAAGGAACATGGGCTGCGCTACGCTGACTTCGCTGACTAGGACATGGGCGCGCGCGCGGCCAGAGCGCTAGCCTGCTAGCCCTGCCAACCAAAAAGGACGCCCGCCGCCGCTCCACCACACCACAAGGCGAGTGCTGCACGCGCGAGACAGGCTGCCAGGCGTTTGGCTGCACCGGGCTACCATTTGCTGCTGCATGCCTCTGCGCGCACGCCTGCCCACGTCCGCTGCCCTTCCGCTGCCCTTCACGCCGCGCCAAAACAAAGGCACCTAAAGCGGCGGCACATGTCTGCAGCGCACTGCATGGGCGCGCCTCCGACGCTTCCATGCGATCCCAGCGCCGACGCCCACATGCACGGACGCTGCCCACGAACCACTACTGTGCGCAAGGGATGGTTCGACATGATGCGAAGGGGGAGGCGGCCGCAAAAGACGTTGGCTGTCTAGCCGCACACCGCGTCGCTTTCGCGTTTGCATGTCTCCCGTGCATGTGACTGCCCGAATATGCGGGTGCCAGCCGTGAAGCACACTGATGCCCATGCCAGGAACCCTCAGGCTACGCCCACACGGAACCCTCCCAAGCGGGGTCGGCGGGTACCCTCTGCCACCATCCGCGACCATCGCCCCGAGCACCACGGTGACCGATGCCATCATGACATCCACCGCCCTCGACTCTGTTTGAGACGCAATCTCTGACCTCCATCTAGCCTCGCCCAGGGTCCAGCGTGGCTCGCGGCACAGCTGCTTCGACAAATCTTCGAGAAGCACCCTAGCCGTCGTCTAATCCCAACATCATCTTCACAGGCATTCTATTTTCACCAAAAGTCCCTGCGTCTAGACACTCAATATATACACTGTCGCTGCGGCACTACTCCCGCGGCTCACCCTCTACGAGTCCTTGTCAGACATGTCAGCGTCGTCCTCGCCTTCAACCGCTACGCGCCTCCCCTGAACCGCCTTTTCTACCTCAGGCACCAAACTTTCCATGAACTCGCGGTCGCGTCCGACTAGCGTTACCGTGTTGTGGTCCTTTCCCCACCTTGGGTAGCTTCCCACCTTGACCCCCTTCGGCTCTGCCTTGGCTGCGAGCTCGGTCAGATATCCAGCAACGGCACTCTCAGCCATCGGAGTCGAGATGAGGATCCGCAGCACGCCTTTGCCCTCCGGATCCGTCAGCCTAGGCAGGATGCGGGGCTTCAGCCCGTCCAGCATCGCTTCAAACAATCTAGGCACCCCGGGCAAAATATGGATGTTACCGTTCACAACGCTAACGGGAACCCAAAGCGACTCGCTGACAAAAACCACTTGATCTTCATCTGATTTAGAATCATCGATAGGCAGCTCCACCATGCGTTTCTTGGCCTTAAGCGCTGGAGACTCAACGTTCCAGTCAAAGTCGGGCTGAGACTTGTGCGGCTTCGACAGGCGCTTCATGCGCTGGAACGCTGCATCGTGTAACTTCAACGGCAAGCCGAAAGCCTTCGCTATCGACTGGTACGTGATGTCGTCGTGACTAGACGCCCATTAGCTCAGCGGCTGAGTAGTGTAGCGAACACGCTGCACTCACGTGGGACCAATTCCGCCGCTCGTCACAACCATGTCGTAATTCTTCGACATGCGTTGCACGGCTTCGATGATCTCGCCTTCGTCGTCAGCAATGACTTCGATGCGGCGCAGGTTGATGCCCAGTGAGAAGCAGAACTTGGCGAAGTAGGCCTGTGTGACATTAGTCGAGGTACCACGCCGTTGATGCGGCATAGTCTACCGAGTTCGTGTCGACTGTCTATGTTTCACGTCAGCTGTCAGAATTCCCAATCGATTTTCATCTACATACCTTCCCTCCAAGAACTTCATCGCCAATGATCAAACAACCCGCTGTGTGAATCAGACTCTTCTGTTGTGTCGAAGCCATGACTGATGACGTTATCGATGGACGGAACGAGGCGGCAGAACGATGAGCAAAGTTGGGGATAGGACGAGACAAGTGCCTGGCAACCTGATTCAGTCGTCCGAACATGGATCAAGACGAGTAACTCAGGGGGAAGAGGGTATGAGTAGCTAGGCGCATGAGAAGAAAAGCCTTCTAGAAAGGTGAGGGTGTATCGACTTGACGGTAGTGCATTAGCTAGCGCCATCCGTGACCTCAGGAACCCCCGCCCATAGACCCCGCTAACGAACGTATCCCGCCCGGCAGACTTCCTCAGCCCTACACCACCCCCGATCGTCCTCAAACGCCCGTTGCCAACCTAGGTCTGCTGCATCGTGCGAAATCATGGCAAGTGCCGCCATCACTTCGCTGCTACGCGCGTCATGCCGGGTCGTTCGCTAATACTTCGGCCCAGTCTTCCGAAGCACGACTATACACCTTCTCTGAAGAGACCAAGTCCAAGCTACGCAAGTTCCGCCTGGGCACCTCGCGCGCCAAAGATCCCCAGGCCGTTATCTGTTCGTATACCTAGGTCTGCTTTTGCCGCAGTCGTTCCTGCCACAGGCAGCCGCGGCCCTGCCCTTTACAATGGCGCTGACGCCCATGCGCGCCAGACGAAATCGATAAGAAGACGCTCGAAGTACGCCAGTCGGACGATGAGGTCTACACCGACGTACAGAGTCTCGCCGATGAGCTCCCAGACCACGCACCACGATTTGTGCTCTTGAGCTACCCGTTGACCCTCGTACGCCACACCCATCATACACAACGCAAGGAAGCTGAGACTTGATAGGACTCGGGACGGTTATCCGTGCCATACGTCATGCTATACTACCTGCCCATCACATGCAACAGCGAGGTGAAGATGCTGTACGCCGGCGCAAAAGAGCTCATGCGGAACACAAGTGAGGTGAACCGCATCATCGAGATCGACAGTGCCGAGGATTTGGAGGAGATTGAAGACAAGTTGAAGGAGCAGAAGTAAAACAGTACGAGATGACGATGCAATGAGAGAGGGTATAACACGACACATGAGCGCGCGCCGTTTGACTACACCGGCTATGAGGACAATACCACCACGATGTCGTATCCGCACCAGATACCGCACCGTGTTCGGTTCACACTAGCAATGCTTGGTATTGGTCCTTGTTCGTACATGCCGACTGGAGATACCTGCGCTCAATTCTTGCTTCCGTTTCTCACGTACAGTGTCATAACACATGTGGTAGCCGTTTCGGGCAATCTTGAACGATCACGATGTTGCTGCGTTACAGCTAACACTCGTATAGTCACGATACCAGAACATCGCTGTCAGATAGATGCGATTCTGCTTAAAGCAGCATCGACCAAATGCAAAGTGCGTGCCCTCGTCTAGGCGCACAATCAAGGCCTGTTATCGCATCGTCGGACCCTCACCAATTTGTAACACCTATCGTCTATCTGTACCAGCCGTGTCCAAATCCTTTCACGCCACACGAGGCACTACGATTGGTCGGCGCCCCCATTTTCCTAGAAAATTACATGTGGACCCCCACCAAGCTCAACCACGGCAGAAGACCAACAACGGCAAAAGAAAATCTCCGATGTGCACACCACGCTGTAATGTCTGCATGGGGAAGGTACGCTGACCCTTTTTCAACTTTCATATGTATGATTGCGGCACGTTCTCGTTTGTAGGGATGTTGACAAGTGTGCCCCCTGTCCCCGACTTTTGTGGAGACGGCTTGGTCTGTCGCTTGCGCCGTATACAGCGCTTCGTACCGAACCCTGCAACATCAAAACGTTGAAATATGGGAAACGGAATAATTGCTGCAAGTCGTAGGGATCGACAGCGAAAGTTTGGCTCGGTAAATTATCTGACGATATGTTGAAGAAGACTTTTCGCGCACGGGAGGATACTGCACGCGCGTTGGGCTCTGAGGATCGTGAGGACTGGGTTCAGGAGATTATGTTCGAAGCGATATGAGCACCCAACTAAAGCGGCCTGTTCCTCGAGTCAACGCGCCTACGACTTCCAACGCGACTTTTGCGGGAGAACATCATGTTGCTGTTGCGTTCTCTGCAAGTATGTCGACAACGATGGCACGGGCGTGGGCCAGCCTCCACCTCATACTGCGTGGTATAAATCGACGGAATAGATTTCACTCGACGCACCGGTGGAATGACTACGATTCTGCAGCTTCCTCCACGAGCGGGTTGTAAGATCAATGGTTGTTCTAGCTGACGCTGTCACCGTCTTTGCTTTGCGAGCAGCTGGTGATAAGCTTGTCTCTGTATTCCATCGAAGATACGTCATCAGTCGCGTCGAAAGATCACGACGCGTCTGTTCTGGAATTGGACTAGTATCGCTTCTGGAAGCGTGTCATAGTACCGAGCGTGCGACGCGCAGGTCCTGGAAGGGCATGTGCGCACAGTAATCACGAAGACTTGTGTGTCTGAAACAACAGTATATTCGGGCTGATGTCGATCATCCCCCCGTCAGAGGAACGCGATGCCAGCAGTAAAGCCTCTTCATCCGAGCTTTTTTGTATCGAGCCATGACCTCTTGTCATTTAAGCCATCACGTCTACCCGAAAACCTCTGTGAGACTGAGCAGCAGAACATGCCTATTCAAAACCCCTGCTCTTACTCAAGACCGCGTGTGCTCTCACGTCAAGATTTGACACAAGACTCATCATCTCGCGCACCATATGAGCCTTATTGTACTGCCCACTTGCTGCGTTTTCGGAGGCTTGGTCCGAAGCGATAAAGTACGTAAGGAATCGGCAGTGCTACGACACTGATGCAACCGAGCAGTGTCAAAGTCCAATGAGTCCCCAAGTTCCTGTACATGGGGATACCAGCAACAGTCATCCCACCAGCTGCAACGTATCTGACCAGCGCGACAAATGTCAAGGCCGACGCTGCGTATGCTTCGTAGCTGTCGATGATGTACATGTACGCGGACATGAAGATGCAAATGTTGCTGAAGCCAACGAGCAATGACGCCGCTAGAGGCGACCATATCGACACCGAGGCCTAAAGCTGGTTAGACTTCTGCATAGAGATTGAGACAGAGGCATAGCATATACTTACATAGTCAGTCCAACCCATCCAGAAGAGACCAATAGGCAGTGTAGGTGCTCCAATCATGGCAAAGAACAATCTTGACTCGCGGTGTATAGCTTTACCGGATCCATCGTCTCCATCTTTCTCGAGTTGTCGCACGGTTCTGCGATATGCAACTGGAACAAGAAGCGCGGAAAGAGCTATGCCGACGAACAGGCCCACGAAGCAGATGTTGGATAGCCCCTCGTTGATGTCGAAGGTTTCCGCGAAGATGTAAGGGTAGCTGCAAGAACGTTAGCCGTACTCTTCGCTTTTGCCTTTTCACAATTTCTAAAATTCACATACCCATCCAAGAACGTGAACAATATGATGTAGACGATCATCAAGTAAAGAGTGAAAGCAACGACGATTGGCTGCGTGCAGAGAAGGAACGGTCGAAGAAAAGATTTGGATAAGAGTCCGCCGATAGAGCCATGCGATGCTTCTGTCGCAGTGAGGAAACGATTGTTCCCTGTGAACTTCCGGAAATGATGTGCTTTGTAGTGCAAGAGACGTGGTGCGAATGATTCTCTTTTGAAGAGCAGTATCAGCGTGAAAGTTACTCCGATCAAGATCAAGGTTATCCACTCAGTCCATCTCCAGCTGAGGTTCTGCTCGTAGCCGATGTAAGCACCTATCACTGGGCCTAGTTTTGTGTGTGGTCAGTGAGACCGAAGAGAAGCAGGTTGAAGATGGAAGACTCACCCAAGACTGGTCCGCCGAACGCGGGTATCGCGAACAGTGGAAAGGCAAATGTCTTTTCCACTGGACTCCATAGATCCCCCACAGAGCCACCCGCAACCGTGAGAGGGGTACTAGCAGAAAACCCAGCCAGGAATCTGAAGACAATCTGGGCGCCAAAGTTCGGGGCTAAAGCGGAACCTAGAGTCCAACACGCGAAGACGAGGAGCGAGCCAAGATAGACTGGGTATCGTCCGAGGAGCTCCGAGAGCGGGCTACAAATGTGAAGATACGATGTCAGTTCATACTCTACATGCGATTCGTTCGTCCAACTCACCTCAGCAAAAGAGCCCCGAATCCGAAGCCAACCAGAAAGAGTGCAGTAGCCAACGACTCCGCTACCTCCGAAACCCCAAACTCGGCGGACGCTCTGGTGAGAACTGCAGAGTCGATGGAAGATGCAAGCGTCGCAACGAAAGCGACAAGGCATACGAGTAACGTCGCACCAATACGGTGTAGGGTTGAGAATTGCTTCGGGTTATGTTGGTCATCGGGCCCGATCCAATCGACCTGGTAATACAGCTCGTTGTTACCATCTTCTCTCAGCGTGATGCCTGGAATCCGAGTGAACGGTTCACCTTTTCCCAGCTCTTTAGGTAACGATGAATCCCCCAGCCCATGTGCCTCGTTGGGCGAGCGTGCAGTACGAGCAGTCAGTGGGTCTGAGACTTCAGTCACGCGTTGTAATTCTTCCTTCACATGCCGCCGAAGAGCTCTGTACTGTAAAAAGAACGCCATAATAGGAAGGAAACAAAAATGTAGCTAAAAAAGATTATAGGGTCTAATCAGAAGACCATTTCGCAAGCTTTTAGGAGCTTGAGAAAACCGCCACGGGCTTTATCTCCGTGACGTGACGCCCGCGAGCCATCATCGGAAAAGGCAGGAAGGCCTCCGATACATAAGCAAAACGCTATGCTTTTAAAATTGGGGCCTCTTCGAATGCTTGTGACGGGAGATGCGAAAGTGGGTTTTCGCTGGAGAACTTTTGATGTGTTCATGGCTAGAGCCTTGGATTTAGCGTCGCCCATGCTCCCCGAGGCAGCGCTTTGCCTAAAGAGGCGATAGACCTGACGTATGTCATCGGGAATAACTGTTCATGCCGCGATTGTTTCTTTCAAAGCACGATTGTATGAATGGGACTGGGCTTTGTAATATTGGTGTTTGCATGAACTGCGCTTTGCAAGAACCGACCGATAAAGGCGGCTACTGCTTTATGTGATGTGCGCGCGAGAAGGTGAACAACAGTCGTTTTGAGAATGACTTCGTCAGCTTGTGAGCACCCTTTCCTCCATCTTAAGGTGAATCATTGATCTTCTGACGATAGAGTATTGCGATGGTCGCAAAAGACTGCTCACCTCTGGTAGACGCGTGCGCGGTTGTGACGGTGTCGGAAACCTGGGTAGCCTCCGCGGAGCAAATGTTATCGGATGTTGCCTCATCATTTTCAGTCATGGCCGCTGCTTCCACTTCATACCAGAAAAAGGTTGAACAGGTCTAGCGCCTACACTAACGTTAGGTCATCTACTTTGCATGCTTGTATGTTGATGTAGGCTGCAGGCCTGGCTTTGAGCTTCACATCAAGTCATAAAAAGTCGCACATGGGGTGTGAAACTGTCCTTTACCATTCCACAAGCTATGTAATAGTCCAGCAGAGATCTTTAATATCGAACAGTAAGTGATGCTCTTGAGATCAAGCCCTTTCCACATTCTCAGTCTTCGCCGCGGTGTACTCGGCGTTGGATTGGAAGCCACCTTCAGGGAGTTTGTCAAGTTGGTCATTCTCTCGGTCCAAGCTGCGGAAAGTCCAGGCAAAGCCGACCCAGCCAAGGAACGTAAGAATGGCAATGCTCATGTACAGCCACACGAGCAATGGATCACCGGCCAATGGCACGAAGGCCTGAGCGATGGCAGACGAGAAAGCATGCGTGAACCAAAACATGCCAGTCACCAAAGATCGCATGTTCTTCGGTGCTTTGGAGAAGGCGTACTCAAGTCCCGTGATGCTAGCGAAGATCTCCGAGAATGCGATGAGGATGTACGCAGGAACCTGAGTCCACACTGAGAGATCCGGCGGCTGATCACAGTCTGTTGGAAACTCTCCGCAAGGCGATTTCTGGTAGATGAAGTGTTGGATGACTGCTGCAACCACCATGGAAA